ACAGGACACCCAGGCTGCGCCCAGGGACGTGGAAAAACACGCAAGTCCCGTATTGTACTCTGACCCTCACGTCCCAGGGCTACCACGCGTCCAGGCGCAGCCAGGCTAGACGCAAGGGGCCCGTCAGAGGGGAGACGGACAGGTCCCAGCACACTCGGCACACGCAGCCATCGCCAGCAAGGAGGACGGGCCGGGGGCAGGAGCCATGGGGCGTGCAGGAGGGATGGGACTGGGAAGCAGGAAGCATACCCTGGGACACAGGAGTGTGCACGAAGCGCTTCCCTGTGCGCGCAGCCAGGGTGCCGCAGGAGTTGTGTGCTTCTTGCCTACAGGCACAAGTATGAATTCCTGCACAGCGGGATGACCCCCGACATCCGAATTACTATCCCCCCCCGACGGATTGGCATCCTGCTGGACTATGAGAACTGCAGGCTGTCATTTTTCAACGCAGACATCGCCCAGCACCTGTACGCGTTCAACTCCCGCTTCCAGCATTACGTCCACCCCTGCTTTGCTTTGGAAACACCCGGCATCCTACGGATACATACTGGAATTGCGATACCCCCTTGGACTGCCCTCCCATAACCCGTGTCCTGCAGCGGCCACGTCTACACGTAACCGCCGCTGAGCAACGCCCCCCCGCAGCATTAACTGTACCATCGCGCTCCCTGAAAACCGGCTCCCTCCCAGGAGGGCAAAGCAACCCTGACCCAAACCAGCTGCCGCCCTCTTAGGGTCTTGGCAGCAAAGCATTACAATCACAAGCTCCAGCAGCATCCCAGAATTCTCCAGTTAGAAGCGGATACCGTCGTTCTCACAGGTGACTCTGTCACCAAGCAGCAGCAGCAGTCGGTCACCAGTTCCCCCAGTATCCCGGGGGATGCCTAGGGAAGTCCCCTGTCCCAGGGCGATCACTACCTCCACTTGTGTCTGCTCAAGAGCTAAAAATGCACAGAAAACCAAAACCAGCAAAAGGCAGAATGGCTGCACAGCTGCTAGACGGAGCTGAACACACTCCGACCACGAAGCCGACCTCACAACCAAGGTCTCTGTCGCTGCAGGAAGCCTGCGACACAAGAGAATCACACGCGCCCCCCTCGCGTGCGAGCTGCCAGCGCCTGCCGTACGCAGCCAGGCTTCCCGAAACACCCAAGCACGTGCTCGTCTCCAACATTAAACGACCTGTACACAATGCCTGGGCTTCTCATTCATTCATCCCGGGGAAAAACCCAACCGAGGCCTTTCGCAGCGCTCGACCGCCCCTGTGGAGAAAACCAAAGCCCCGTTTTTAGCTTGTTCTGTTCGGCCGTGCTCACCTCCACCCTCCCCAACCCGTTCTCCCCCTCAGCGCTGCACATTTCTCACCCCACTGCTGCGCCCTGGCAGCGCTGGGTGTCCAGCGGATGTACTGCGGCCCCGCACCCCGGCGAACTGGCCTTGTTCAGGCTTCGCTTCCGGACAGCTGCCGCTCAGACAGGCGCTGCCGGCCAAGCACTCGTCTAGCTCTCAACAGCCTCAGTCACTTACGTCACGACTACCTGAATCCAATCAGGAGCCATTAACAGCAGCTTTTCCACAGATTTACTGAACATTCGTTAAAAATCATTGGCTCAAGTTCTAGGGGATAGTCGGGAAAAGGCAGCAGCCCCTACAGCATACAGGGTCCCTACAAATAAACGGGCCCTGGCACACCCAAAGAGATTTGACATAGAACTGCGTGCCAAAACCTCGTGTGTTCTTCCCCAAATTAAGAGTTTCCCCAAAAGAGGCTTTGCAGAAACTATATAACCAGGAGCTGGGTATGTCATTATGGCAGCCATCAGCACCATCCTCAAGAGGATGGGGTTAGCGATGCTGAGCTGTGCGAGTGCGTCACTTCTCTGCCCACCACGAATTCGGAGATTTCCAGGGCAGAAAGGGCTGTTACGGCCACTCTGTCAGCAGTTCCTCTGCCAGGGAATGAAGTGGTGAGACAGCACCGCCCCAGTTGTTTTAACACCTTTGTTTTTAATGTGCTTAAAAAGGTGTGCCTCGCTTCCAGTCCAACTTCCCCCACTGGGACGTGGTTCACCGTAGTCTGCCAGAAATCGAGCGCCACGCTCTTCTCTCCAACAGGTACCTGAAAGGGTGGAAGAGCCAAGGATCAGAGCAGAGGTAGGAGGACGTCTGAACCTCCCAGCAACAACTCTAACACAGAAAGCCTTGGGTGGAGCCAAGGGTGCTGGTGGAGGCAGATGTTCTGTTGCGGGCCGTCGCACCGCTCCCCACCGCCAGCTTTCACCTCAGGCATCTAAACCTCACCTGCATCCCGGTGCCAGGGTGAGCCATCACCCCGGACGACACAAGAACCCAATCCAAGCCGCTCTGTCGTACGTTGCCAGGCCGATGAATCCGCTGGGAGAACGCAGGCCTGACGGCTGAGCACGGAGCAGCCTGCTCAGCAGGGCGAGACCCGGTGGTCATCGCCAGGCATGGCTGAGGCAGCCACAGAACCATCTGAGAAAGGAACAAATAAGGAATAATTGGCTCCCAGGTTAAAAGCAGTATGGGAAATGAGGCTGCATGTTTCCGTTTAATAAAAGCTTCACCTGTCAGCAAGACCCCAAGCATTTCCTCCCTTAGGAATCCCAACCCTGTCACTTAAATATTTATACAGCAAGGGGAAAGTCACGGACACCCTGCATTTTTAAAACCAGCTGTCACCGTGAATTCCCTTTATACAGATCCTTTACAGGGAGGCCACGGCTTCCACTGCGGGGCCTATTAATCAGACCAGGACGGCACGCAAGCTGGCATCAACCCCACCTTCCTGCGTACGTCTGCCAGACAGGGGGAAAGGCAGCACAGCAGGACCCAATCCTGTACGGAACGGGAAGCTGCGTTTGTCTCCTTCCGAAGCTAAAGGGCACTCAGAGGTACCCCAGGGCAGACCAACACCAGGTGTACTCGGTTTATCTGGGATCCTGGGTACAGCACTCATCCTGGAGAACGGTGTTGAGTAGAGAGCTGTGCCTCTGCACCGAAAGGTCTCTCAGATGAGGCAAAACCGGTTCTCGTCTCCAACCTGTCTCAAGGAGCTCTGGCTCACTGCTGGACTGGGGACTTGGCCAGGGCTGCACAAAGGCCCTCGGGCTTAGGAGCTACCCTCAAGCCCCTTTAGGCTGGGCAAAAAGGATCACTTTTCCCAATTCCCTCCTGCTCCCCCGTGATTTAAAATACGAATACACGTCGTTGCCACAGGAGGGCATCACACGAAGCCCTTTCACAAGGCCACGCGGGTTACCACAGAGGTTTGCGCAGGGGTCCGTGGCTGAACAGCCAGGTACAGTGCCCAGACTGGTTACCGTAACCCTTCAGCACATCCAGAGTCCCTCCTCACGCATCCTGGAGCCGGGAACCCACGGGCCTGCGAGCGAAAACACAACGTGAGACCACGTCAAAAGCACAAATACAACAACGGGCAGCACAAGAGCCCTGAAACGCGGCTTAGCG